GTCCGTCCCCCCCCCCGGAAATACGACATCTTACCGGACAGACACAAATCGAGATCTCGACAATACATAGATCGGCGCGAAAGACTGGGTCGAGTGAACTCTGGAGAAACCTTCATGTCAAGATTAGGAGTGCTGCCTTCGGCAGCAATAAACAAAAAAACTTTAATACATTTACCCGCTGATGTTTTGATGAAATCCCGATAACTGACGCATCGCCTGCTGCGTTCACGCAGACGCAGTTCATGCTTTGATGGAGCAGGATATATCGGCGAACTTGCTATACGAAAGCCGGCGTATTATTCCCAGGCTTTCTTTCCTTTCCGTCCAAAGGACGGTGCATGCATGGTTGTTCAAGTATCATTGAATTTGTCAACGATATTCTTTTTGATATACCCTCACTTGTTGGTCTTCCACGAACGAGAAATACAGATACCATGATTAGCCATGATTAGCCATCTACTTTACAAAATGAGAAAACTTTCTAAAATCATTGGCTAAGATAAAAACATATGCCAAAATCTCAATCAACAATCTATTAACATATTACAATTATGAAAAATATGACTACGCGTAGGATGTCAATCTTTCGTTCATCTTGTGGTTAATAAAATGGCGGAATACAAAACAATCAAAATATTTTAGCGCGCAAAGCATCACGGTTGGCTGTGATCGTTTAATATTTGGAATCTAGTTCGAGATAATTGATGTGAAAAAGTTTGACAGAAATGGCAAGAAAACTGGTGTATATAGATTTATTGCTCCGGTCGTATACTTCCTGTTTCTCTGCTATGGATTTGGCACTCTCAACGGTGGACAGCGTGATGTTCAGACCAATAATAGGAATCATGAGACAATCAACTCGCCTCTTGGCAAAAGCTACATATCTGCATCCTATGTGAAATTTCTTCAATCATCAGGCGCGCGTGTTGTTCCAATCTTCAATAATCCAACCGAAGTAGAAACTAGGGGGTACTCGACAATTTCCCTTATTATATAGTCGCGTGTATATGCTTTAGATTTTGTTGTTATATTTAGCTGCTTAGTATGGCAAGCAACATTCTCTTTATCTGGCACCAAGCATTAACTCGCATTATATAATAACTACAGTGAAACACGCAATTTGATTGGTCAACAGCCGTGCAGGATCAGACAATCCTGCACGGGAAATTCTGAACAGAAATTATTGCATATAATTTTACAAATATACTCGCATTGTAAAGTTTCATTGTACGATACCTTTCGACTTTGAAGTAAGTTTCCAATTATTGAGACGTTGGTTTAGTTGTATGAATAAATTTCTGATCGATACATTGCTATTCAGCATGTAGCAACGCGTATTAAAGCGTTTAAATTCATCAGACCATGGCATGCAAGTACAACATCTCTCGCTTCAAAGTTGATCAAACGCTTCGCAATCTTCACATATTCAGGTAGAGAATTTTCACTACTACTTTGACTGTCTGTTTAGCGGGTTTTCCATTTCAAATTTCGTATATTTTATCGAAAAAGTCCCTGTATTTTCGCTGTATACTTTCGCGAATTTGCGATCAAATTCTGTTCACATAATTATGTTGTTGTTTTCAATAGCGTGGATTAGCGATTCTCTGATTGGTTATTCAATAATTAAAGTATAAATATTTATATTCGAGTACAACCTTGATCATTTCAAAATCAACAGACTAGAAATCTTACTGGTAACATGGCTGGCTGCCGATTATCTTGGATTTGAGGGTTTGAACAAGATATTGCAAGATTTAATTATAAATACACAAGATATACTGTACTGTAAACATGCATCTACTTGAAGAATGTAAAATGAACAGTGATGAGTGATGTAATATAATTCTGTACTTATTTGGAAAACCTTTTTGGCAAATCTTGAGAATAATGGCTTTGGGAATCAATGTTGAAAATTAAAAACTGTCAGATAGCTGCATGGACAGCATGGTTGGAAGCATACATGTCATCGGATGAAACTCCAACTTTTGTTAATTGCTGATGTTCTAGTATTGGAAATTGAAATGAACAGTGTTATAAGAACCAATGGTGCTGAACTAATTTGGGTTTATTATAAAATATTGTTTATCATTTAGTTCTGGCCATTAACCTTACCTATTAAGTTATACATTGTGTCTTACTTTTTATTTTACTCTGGTGTGCACCCCCCAGGCTCTGGTCAACAGGGGTGCATGGGGGGGGGGGGTGCAAAATGTTTATCCTAATTCTAATCAACTTATGTTAAGGAATTCAGTTGGGTATCACTAGTTGACAATAGTGGAATAGCCAATATTAAATATTCTGAATTTTTAAATGTTTTCAGAATCTAAAAATTTTCCAGAATGTTTTCTCAGAATGCTGGAAATGCCATTTCAGAGACCCAAATTTTAAAAATTTTCCGTGGTAGTATGCCCCCGGACCACCCTAGAAATCTCGCGCCTTCGGCGCTCGTTTCGCCATTGGTTAGCACCCCCAAAAAAACTTTGCTGGATCCACCACATGATTTTATATGTTGGGATAGATCATTGGTGTTCAATGGATTATCTCATAATACACACTAGTTTGTTAACCTACTCTGTCTAATCATGCTAACACCATCATTGACAATGGAATTGAGCAGTGATGTAGCCAGAATTTCTAATTAAGGCCTTCAAGGGGGACTGAAATCCCCAGGAGGGGCCTGCACTAGTTTGAATAAAGTTCGTTAGTATGTAGAAATATATTTGGACTCCCAAGCTATCCATGTATAATATAGTACAATGTAGACTTTTTAAATTCTAGTTAATAAAGTGCCATTTTGGGGGGCTATTTTAATGTGTTTTGGTGATTTGAAATAACCTTGCAGTTAACACATGTTCAACTCTAATTAATTACAAACAAGTTCAGAACATTTAAAATATTTTGATCCCCCACTCCCTCTGGTTACACCACTGGAATTGACTTGAGCCTTTTAGACCTCTGAATTTTAGTTGCAACTTAGAACAGTGTTCTGACATACAAGAAAATTGTAAGAAAATTTAAAATTTGTGCAAAAGCATTTCTCAAATAGGTCGTTCCAGAAAATATCCACACTCTCCCCACAGAGGAAATTTCTGCCGTTCAGAGGGGGAGGGGGGAAAAATTGTTTCTGATAATAGTAAATGTATTAGGACATCCAAAGGGGTAGAAGGGATTAACTTTCAATTTCCTCTGTGGGAGTGGTATGGGTGTTTTCTGGAATGACCCAATATAACTGTGTTTTTTTCCCAATCTAATCAAACTGTCAATCCTTGTACATGGGGAGGGGAAATTTTGGAGAAATAAAAATTGTGACCAATCAGGTTGGGGGTCCACCTGTAGGCCTGGTCATAGGCGTACAGGGCGGGGCTCAATTGTTGGGCAGACTAGGCCAGTCGGGCAATATTTACTTCACAGTTGGGCAATATTGGCTTATTATAAAAATAAATAGGAGAAATTATTCCCTCAATATTGGGGGAAATATGCTATATAATGGTCGAAAATTTAGTTCATTTTGATTAATAGTCATTTAATATATGTGCTATCAACAGTTTCTTTATGGTATTAAGTAACAGATTACAATGTTTGTACATTAGAGATTTAGAGGCACTAATAACTCAATAATAAATAGGCACTAATACAAACTCTGAGCCAGTGCACCCAGCATCCTCAAATTGGGAATAATTTGTAAATTTAAATATTTGTGTATAATTCATAATTTATCCTATTCCAATACAAAATGCAATAATATAGAACACACAATTTATCAAATAAAGGTAAAAAGGTATTAAAAACTTTATTATGTAATATTTACATTGAATATCGTGGTTGAAGTTGTAGATTTATACTTGAAATTTCAATTTTCGAACGAGAAATGTTTCTCTTTATTATGTTAATTTTTTTACTCTGTTCGCCATTCTTGCTTATTTACAAATACAAATAGTCCATTTCTTCTTTTGCTCTTTTCAAAATAGCCCAGAATTTGATTTAAAAAAGTATTTTCATGCAAAAACCAGCATTTAACTTTTGTATACACTCCTTGAGTCCTTGTGATAGCAGACATGTTGGCAAAATATCACCCGGTTAATGAATAACTTCCGGTACTTTCATTGTATTCGCATTGACCAATCAAATCACGTTCTGAGTTGGATTATCCCAGGGCTTCTGAGAGCAATAAGCGCAGAAGCCCTGGGTACGAGGTTGGTATACACTCGTCTGAAAACAACTCTAAAACCGCTACATAACGTTACACGAGTGGGATCGTAAACGTGGGAAACCACAACATTCATATACAACATTGCCAGACTAATAAATGGCTTTACGCATTGAAGGACTACCCTCCGAAATGCAACTAACATCATAACTTAACAAGTCGTTCTCAGCTTAACCTTGTAGCTCAGACGGTAAAGCATCGTTCTAGAAATGCGAAGGTCGCGGGTTCGAATCCCACCCGCGGTCAAGTAGAATTTTCTGCTTGCCCGGTTTGGTATACACTCGTCTGAAAACAACTCAAAAACCGATATATATATATATATATATATATATATATATATATATATATATATATATATATATATATATATATATATATATATATATGTAAAAATATAATTTATTTACTTTGAAGTTTTATGATTTCTTGATATTTTTAAATGAAGATTTTTTGGGGCTGGCTCTTGATATATATATATATATATATATATGTATATATATATATATATATATATATATATATATATATATATATATATATATATATATATATATATATATATATATATATATATATATATACAGTGTGACCAGGTTTTTTCAGGGGCAATTACCACATCCGGCTGCATAAAATTACTACATTGGGCCAAAAATTACCACGGTACCTCTTTTTTCGATTACCTCCCCACCGTCGACAATTTTTGAGGTCAAAAATTTTCCCGACGAACACGTGTTTTGCTTAATAATTTTCCGGACAGAGACGTGTTCATTGCTTTCAATTTGTGGGACTTTTTCCGCATTTTTCCCACATTTTTTCAGGTCACGAACGATAATTTGCCTGAAAAACATAAATATTTTGCCCTGAGAGGACCCATAAAAATTATTGGAGGCCGCCCAAAGCCCAGGGGCGTCGATTATTTTTGCCAGTAGGGCATGTTGGAGATTTATCGGTGTAGGGATAAATAGGGATAGATATGGATAAATTGCCCGTTCGCGGGCTAGACGATAAAAGTACGTTATGTAAGTAAATATGTAATGGTTCAAAGATGGCGACGGGAAAAACGTACTAAAAACGTTAAACGTGAGAGAGTTGATTTTGTTTGTTAAAGTTTGAGATTTATTAAAGGGATTATACAATTGTGAGTGAGCAATAACATTTTGTGACTTATCGTGGACACTCGGGAGGCGAATTCACGATACAGTGGCACGTTTTCGACGGGATTTTCGAGTTGAATTTGTCAATTACGTATTAAACAAATGTGAGTATTCGACTATATATTGAAATTTGTGACACAATATGGAGAGACAAATAGCCGAACTATCGAACAAGATAAAGACCCTTAACTTTAGGCGCACAAAAACGAGTGAAATATTAGAGAAACAAGATCGACAAGCATCTGAACGTCAAAAACAAAGTACTATTAATATATCGAAAGCAGTAAACGAGCTAAAGGAAACAATCGAAGAAAAAAAATTGCGAAAGGTGAAGATGAAGGGGCTATAGCTGAGTGGAGCAAACTATATGAAAGCGAACTTGAGAAAGCAGATCAGGATATCAAATTATTAGATCAACAGATCAAGAAAGTGGATGATGATGAAAGAGAAGCCAAAACAGCTTACGAACACGAAAGAAAGTTGGCATTTGAACTTGAGTTATTTGAACGAAAGGCAAAATTTCAGGAAGAGTTAGAGAAAACGAAACAAGGTGAAAACAATCAACACAGTAAACCAACCTCTGGTGCAAAATTACCCAAACTACCCATCACAAAGTTCAATGGAAGAATTGATTTATGGCTCCCATTTTGGGGGAAGTTTAAATCTGAAATTGACTCCACAAACATACCGATTTTAACAAAATTTTCTTATTTAAAAGAACTGTTGGATGAGAAAGTTCGGACAGATATAGATGGTCTTCCATTCACCGAAGCGGGTTATGACAAGGCGAAAGAAGTTTTGGAATCAGAATACGGACAGATGGCTGATGTTGTAAATACATATGTGGTTAACATTATGAGCTTACCAGTTATTAATGGCAAAGATCCAGCAAAGATCAATGAATTTTACAAACAGCTTAGGTACAATGTTCAGAGCCTTGATACCCTTGATAGATTGGCTGATGTAAAAGGGAATGTTCGGGCAACATTAGATAAATTAAAGGGTATAAAAGCTGATCTTGTTCATGGAAAAGAGGACTGGCAAAACTGGGGATATGAAGACCTCCTAAAGGCCCTAAAAACATGGCGTGAAATCAATCCAATAGAAGAGAAATTAGAGCAACAACAGCGCAGTGGGAAAGGAAAAGGTTACTCAAGGTTCTACCATTCTCAAGATGCAGAACAGAAATCACGGCGACCAGAATGTGTTTACTGCGAAGAAAGCACGCATAAAGGGACAAACTGTTCGAAAGTCAAAACCCGTGAAGAACGAAAGAAAATTCTAGCTCAAAGGGACTGTGCTTTAATTGCACAGGGGCACAGCACCGTGCCAGTGAGTGCAAGAGTAAGCTAGGATGTCAAAAATGCAAACGGAGACATCACACATCAATTTGTGATCAGGTGACTGAACAATTCCTCGGAGCTAGTAGTAGTACAAATGTTATTCATCCAGTGGTTATTGTACAAGTAGGTGGGTTCAAGTGTCGGGCTCCATTAGACACTGGTGCAGGGAGCTCCTATGTGTCGGCTACATTATTAGATCAGATTCCCAAAAGATGCTCCAAGAAAGAAGTAAGGAAGATTGACATGATGCTTAGAACAACAACAAGAGAGGTTGAACTATCAACTATTCAAATTGGGGGGCCCACTGGTGATTTTTCCTTGTCGGTGGAAGTAACTAAAGTTAACAAGAACGAACTGTTACTTTTGGATAACCCAAGGTATGAAGAGATCATTAAGAACCACTCACATATGAAAGGAGTTGCTATGGAAGATCATGACCTAAAAGATAAACTTCCAATTCATATTATTCTCGGGGCGAGTGAGTTTGCGAAGCTGAAGACAGAGAAACCTCCTAGAGTTGGTCTTCCAGGTCAACCTGTAGCCGAGTTGACTCGGTTCGGTTGGACTATTATGTCCCCAGGCAAGGAATCCGTGGATGTGTTAAGTATGCTTCTAGCTCAGACATCTCAAGCTGACTATGAAGAACTATGTCGGCTTGACGTCTTGGGCTTAGAAGATAGACCAACCAACAGCCAGAGTATTGTCTACGATGAGTTCAAGGAGCAACTTACTCGGGATGAAACTGGACGATATGAGACAGGGTTACCATGGCGTGGAAACCATCCCCCATTACCAAGCAATCGAGCTAGCAGCTTACGTCGCCTGGCAGGTTTGACAAGTAGACTTGATCGTGCGGGACTGAGATCTAAGTATAACCAAATTCTGGAGGAGCAAAAGACAGAAGGGATTATTGAAAGTGTGAGCAATCCCAGCGAAGGTAGAGAGTTTTATATCCCCCACCGACCAGTGATGCGAACTTCTGCGGAATCAACGAAGCTCAGGATTGTCTATGATGCATCGGCTAGAGCTCATAACGCAGCGACTTCACTTAATGAATGTCTAAACCCAGGGCCCAGTCTGACAAATAAACTTTGGAATGTATTAGTCAGAGGACGCTTTCACCCGGTAGCATTGAATGGTGATTTACAGAAAGCGTTTCATCAGATTCGAGTGAGGGAACCTGATCGTGATGCTCTCCGCTTCCACTGGCAGACGGACGGACAGTCTGACGTTGAAATTTTGAGATTTGCTAGAGTGCCTTTTGGTCTAGCTCCCTCCCCATTCTTGCTGGGGGGAGTTCTTGATATGCATTTGAGCACCTGGGAGGACCGAGAACCGGACATCGTAGCTAAACTTCGAGATGAACTGTACGTTGATGACCTGATCTCCGGATCTACAACAGTGGCGGAAGCTCGTGAGTTCAAAGAGAAGATAACAGAAATGTTTAAAGAGGGCTGTTTTAACCTTCACAAATGACATTCAAATGATCAAAATTTAGAGTCGGAAGATCTGCCAGAAGGAGAATTTACTTATGCAAAACAACAGTTGGGGACTACCTATGGGGGAGGCTGCAAACTACTTGGTCTCGAATGGTCAAAAGAGTCAGATACACTTCATGTAACCCTATCAACAGAAGAGACCGTGAAAACGAAACGAGGTATTTTAGCTAAGCTTGCTAAAATATATGACCCACTGGGATTCATTACACCATTACCGTTGCGAGGTAAGCTGATATACCGGTCCACATGTGATGCGAAGATAGCCTGGGATGCTCCAATGCCTGATAATCTGATCAAAGAGTGGAATCAGTGGGAGAATGGTCTGCCGGTTGATGTCGAAGTGCCAAGATCGTTAGTAGTCCATAGAGAGCCAATCGAAAGCATCAAGCTACATTCGTTTGTAGACGCCAGCAAAAACGGGGTAGCAGCGTGTGTGTATGCAGTCGTGGAGCAGGCATCGGGCACAAACCAAGGCTT